CAAAGGTTTTTTCGACTGGAAACACGCATTACAGACTGATAAAGGACTGATAAGGCATGCCGCATCAAAAGAACACATTTCATGTGAGAGTTGTGGAGAGAGAGAGACAGATACGCGAGGAAACAAATAAGGAAATGAGTACTTTGGTGCAGATCAGCTGGCACGGAACCGCTATTACGTGTCGTTGATATTATAGCCAAATTACACTTAAGACATATACAACTGCAACGAAAGTAACAAACACAATGCAATATCCTTTTCAATTTCAAAGAACACAAATTGGGTTGTATACATTAACAAATAACTATGAAACAACAATACTGTAGAATAACAAAATGAATGCTGTGAATAAACCGAAATACGCATGTTGAATTTTTAAGAATAAAAGTGTTAAGTTAATAGTTAGTGTGAACTTTCGGTTTTTTCAGAATAAAACTGCCTTAAATTAAAACCCTGTATTTAATTTAAATTACATCATATCAACATTGATTTTAATTTCTTACAGTAGGAGAGGTTTTGGGGTTTGGGAGGGAGGAAGGAAGATTAGGATTAGGGAAAAAAGGTAGGGAGTGGTTAGGGTTTGGATGGGGGGAAGGGAAGGTGTTAGATTGAAGGGAGGGAAGAGAACTTCTACCCGGGAATCTGTGAAGCTCCGCCCACATTCAGCTCATTGCGCACTGCATTGAGGGGCTTCTCGAATATTCGGGACAGCCCGTTGTGTTGGTGCGTTTATGTGTTTGTCTTTCTGCAGCTCATCTCACATACTTCTCTACATCAGCTCAATATTGTTTGTGCTAATTAATGACTTCATGCTCAAAGACCTCTTAATTGAAATTCTTGACTTTTGATAAAACATATTTTAATTGAGTGTTTTAAACCAAACAACAGGGCAGAGAGTGCACTCTACCCTCTCGTTCTTTCTCAGCCTTCAGTAGGAGACCCTCTCAGCGCCTTCTGATACCTACTGCCACATCAGCTAGAACACCTCTCCCTGTACTCACAGATCAGCTTTGTCAGCAAATACCTCTCATTGGAATGTCTTATTCCTCACTCAGTGATATGGCTCCACATCTCAGGCTCCCTGTTCTCCTTTTAATTGTCCCATATGGTTAGTGTCATCAGGAGACAGAATTTTGGAAAGTTGTACTTGGCTCCCTTACTGTGGCTTAGTTCTAGTAGTGGTGAGGAGGAAATAAGGGAACAAATCACCGCCCCTATGTTAGGCCTGCGCTTGACCAAAAATGTTCCTAGTCGACCAGTAGCCGCAGTTCAAGCAATAAGTGTTTTAGCTTCACAAAATGGTTTCAGTTACAGGGCTGAGAAACAGTGTAATAAGTATACATCAACATCATGGTTCATGTATAAAACATATTATACATAAGTGTAATAAAGAGCCTAAGCCCATACGGACCGCAAGAAAATAACAGATTTGTTTCACCACACGTGTAGCAAAATTAAAATGTTGCCAAGGTTCATTATATATGAAGGTCTATATTTATTTTTAAAAGGCTCGGCTACCGCCTGACTTGTCACTGCAGCTTCATTCCTCCAATCCTAGACTTCTCATATAATGAGGAGAGAGCATATATTTTCCCACGTTGTCAGAGAGAAGTGTCTCTGTGTCTTGCTCTTTGAATTTGTGTTTCGGCTCATATGTTGTATAATTTTTTTCCTACCATGCCAGGCACATTTTTGCCCTCAGAGTTTGCATGTCACCTTCTCGGGGTCTTCCTCTACATGCACAAATTATCCAACACTTAGGATTTCCTGCTCAACATAATTGACTCAATGACCAGGCACAACTCCTGAAAGAAGTGTGAGGGGTTTTCCTGCAGACACGACAAAGCACAGCCCCCGGATGGAGTTTATTTTTATTTTCTTTATGCAACTAATAGACTAATGAAAATTGCTCTCGCCAAAGACTTTTTTTTAGCTGACCAACGTTTGGTGTACTATTAGGGGGCAGCCCTTCCTTATTAAATTCAATCTCATGCTGCTTCTTCCTGCATTCAGTTGCTTTGACTGTAGCTCTTGTGATAGTCAGTATAAACACAGAGAGGTATTAAAACACGGTTGTGATGTGTTTAGGTTTATATCTGTCCTTTTCTGTTTGACAGATTTGTCTGCCCTCTTATCTCCCATGGCGTCTCCAGGAGTGTTGCTTGACTGGACCGCAGCCAGATTTGAGGTACGTCTAAAGATACGACAACACTTCACAACGACTGCTGGCTTAATTTATAAAATAAAAAAACTTTTAAAATATCTTGTTACACATACTACTTATTATTATTATTAGTATTAAAGGTCTCCTATTATACTATTTTTAGGCACATATTATAGGTCTCAGATATATAAAAATATATTAAAAACATGTCTATGAAGTGGTTTGCTCCAAATACCAAACAGATCACCCATTCTAGCCCCACCCCTCTATTTCAGCCCTGTTAGAGAAGTGCTGATTCTGAGTCCGTAGCTGGAAAAAAAGAAACATTTGAAAAAAAGAGGGGGGTGGAGCTTATGCCTTCTCATGCAGGAGAATTCTACCAGGATACTCAGCTAAATGCTGCCGTGATTAAACACCATATAATGTTCCAAACCACATCAAGGATTATTTCTGAAATCGTATGGCGTTCAAATGCTTTTTCTCTTGCGGGTTTACCACAAGGTGAGTACCTTTTTTATATCCTGATTTTTTTACACATACTCTCTCCAGTACAGCGTTAGCTCTGAGTGTTAGCGATACTTACTAATGTGAACAAAGACCATATTACATCCAAAACACGTCACACATTGTTTCTGATAGCGACGTTTCTGATAGGGCCGTGGGTGTAAAGCCAGCTCACATTTCTCATATTACGTCATATCGGCAGCAAATCTGGATCAGCTCCGTTGTTCCCCTGTTTTTAGAGATTTGGGTACGGAGGAAAAGAGAGATGGTTTTGTTTTGTGACACTTTGTGAGTTCCCTGACACACCGGGGACACATTTATGTATAAAAGACATACAGAAGTGCATTTTGCATGATAGGAGACCTTAACTAAAATGTAAAATGACCTTTATTTCAAATGGATCTTCCAAATCACTTAACTTAACGCACGTAACTGTAATTTCAGGTTTTTGGTAGATTTTTGTTGGCGGCCCTGCTGTTAAGCATTAAGGACCGTAAAGATGTTTCATTTACAAACTGAATCTTTTCTTTCAGCCCGGCCCAGTGCTGTCCCCTCTGACAGCCAGCCCGCTGCATCCCAGGGAGGACACCAGGTCCAGTAAGTCACTAGGAGACCCTTACTCTGAGCCCACCATGTTTAATAAACATAGTAATCCTTTTTTTAAATGATTATGGCAGATTTCAGATACGCTGAGGATTTGCCTGCTCAGCTGATTAATGTGCCTTACACCAACACAGCAAGTAAATCTGCTGAAGAGGGGAAAAAAGAAATTCCCCAAAAGGTTAGCATTGTTTGTTTCCCTCAACTGTAGAAAAAACTATTTAAAATATTTAAGTAACAAGACGTGCTGATTTATGATTGTTATCTTTTTTTATGTTAGGTTAACCAAGTAGTTTTGTTTCAATTCATAACGTTATCCATGTGTTTAAAACTAAACGTTCCACAATGTGCGAGCAGGTGCTGGAACTTTACCTGGATGTGAAACATATTTCCTGTGATAACTGATAATGGCCATGATGAATGGGATGATAACATTCCAAACTTGGTGATTTGTTTTGTTCAGGACATTGTTCTGAAAAATGCTGAGTCATGGGCAAAACTGGTGAGGCAGTCAGTAACTACAACTGCTATCAAGTCGTCCAAGGAGAGCTTCAAACTGTTCCGTAAGGTTGCTCAAAAAAAGGAAGAACTTGAAAAAGCCCTGAAGAAGAAACAGGAGAGGGAGGCTCCTGAGAAGAGCAGGTATTTAGAGAATGCATTAGATTTGTCTCTACATTTTTCTTTACTAGAAAAATAATTCCACTTCCACTCTTTCCAAACTTTGAAAGAGTCCAAGACTACATTTCTAACATAATTGTCAGCAAAGCATCCAAACCCTTTTTTTAAAGCAGTATTTGAAAGAAAGCTTGGTAGTTGAGTCAAAGATCTATACTTTTAATAACAAGGACATTCTCCTTCTAGCTTACCAGGCCCTTGTGAAGCAGACACTAATCTACAGCCTATTGGGGAGGATCCTGAATCACCCGAGAGCGTTTCTAGACAAACTCTAGACGCTACTAAGGATGTTGAGCTGCAAAAGGCTCCTGTAGAAACCCAACCTCTAAGCACAGAGTCTGCGGTGGATATGAGGAGAGAGATGGCCCGCAGGAAGGAGCAAGAACGACGCAGGCGAGAGGCTGTGAGTTCCCTCATTCCTCTTTCAGTGTCATTGTGTTGTAAAAATTACATTTGTTATGCATTTAAATGCCATTTCTGTGGATTGTTTTTCTTTATAGATGTCTGGTATAGACATGTCTCTGCAGCGAGACATCATGAATTCCTTTGAGCTCGCCCTGGACTAAAGAAACTACTTGAAAAAGATATCCCTCTGTGCCAAACTGAGCATCGTCTCAGTGAATAACCCGAGCTGCTGTGAAGAGTTATTGTGAAAAAAAAACATTGAACAAATATGAATGGCCCCTGAAATGTTGCACTGACACACTGCACTGTTGGATTTGAGAGGAATGGGGTGATGCACCGACAAACCTTAAGCTGATCTTTTGTGCAAGTTTATCTGTTCTTTTCTCCTTTGTGTGAAAGTTGTGTATGACAAGCTATTTTGTGCATGCATATACTGTAGTTCAATTGTCACATTGTCTTGTTTGCTGAAAAGTGGCAGTGTTGTTAAGTTATGTTTGTTAAATGATCCCATCTGATCAACCCTTACCACCATCTTTCACTTCATCCTGACCAAACACTGTTATATGTTGATGTTACATGCACACATGACTTTATTTTCTTGCACAAAAGTACATTTTGACCCAAGGTTGGTAGGTCCTTGTCAATGTTTCCAATGTGGAATAGAAGTTAATAATCTCAGTTCCTTCGTTGTACTACTTGAAAATGTCATATATTGTGTTAACTGTACACACACTGCACTTTGTTGTTCATACAGTTCTCACTGTTCCAAAGCTGCTTTTGGAGATTATCGACATGTTCTATATGTTAGAGTTTGTTACAGAAATAATTTCTTCTTTTTTTGGATCAAAGTAATAAAGTTATTTTCACTAAGCAATCCGCATCACTTCATCAGTACTTCTACTATACTGGCAGTGCAGAGCGGACCACAGCGCCTCATCTGAGGCTAGTCTCCCCTCAGCACCAAGCTGGGGTGCTGCGATATTATGGCAATTAACTGCAATAATAGAACTGTATATACAAATATCGATATGTAAATAATGCACTTAATATTGTTTAAGTTAGCTAGAACCTCTTGGATCATTTTCATATCCATCTTTGTATTGTTTTTTTTATGTACGTTCCAACCGCAATGGTTACAGACTGTTCCCTTCCATTGCATTTTGAGTGCAATTCCTTCCCCCCCAAAACCAATTTGACTGATAGCATGTCTTTCAAATTATTTTTTGATTTTACAATAATATAATGCTTTGGCAAATATTTTTCGATTGTAATGCTGTGGTTCTTTCCTGCAGGATGGATTTATCTTTAATATTTCCATATTTATTTATATTCCAAATAATATTAAAGACCCTATCATTTAAAAAATGTTGGCCTTGGCCTCCCCTCCCCCTAGTGGTAGTGTCAAGCTAAATCCCTTTATCTTTGCCTGTCATTTATTTGAATGATGTAGATCATTAAAATCAAACAAATTGATGCCACAGTAGAAATAATAAAGCTTTCCTTTTCATGAACGCCTCATCTGGTCCGCTTCGGGGCTCCATATTTCAGCTCTAAAAAGGACAATGGTCTCAATCTGTTATCCAGTCACGTGAGGGATTAGGCTAATCTGAAACACGTTAATTGCTTCATCCCGCGTGTCATTCGGTCTCAAGCTTTGTTTCCCAACCATTGACCCGCTGGCTGATAAAAGCGCACCTGCACCGCATCACGGCTCATTAGAATATGAATGTGCTGCCCGAAAAACACCAGTATAGCCACCAACTAATTAAATCCACTGTTGGCCGTTTACTGTTCTGAAAGTGGTGGGTGTGACAATTGAAATTAACTCAAAATATGTCATGTATTAAAAGCAGGTGCCTTATAGGCTATTTGACATGCAGTGTTGTTGCCATAACAGCGGCCGGTGCTCTGCGGTGATGCTCCGCTCTCCCCGCCTCTCTCATCTCCGCAGATCCCCGCACCGAGCGGCTCACCGCCTCATTTCGGGCTCGCCTTGTATAGTCAACAGCAACAGCTCCTCTCCTACTGAAACAACCCACTGCTGTCAGACGCACGCGTGAAATCTGACGTGATGCTGTTGCCACCGTCCCATTCAGCCGTGTGTCGGGATCCTCCCTTCAGATAGTCGTGCGTATGCGCTGCTGGGAACGACATTGTGCAGAGCGGTGTTTAAGCAGAAAGCGAGCTGTTAATAGAGACAAATCAATAGGTAACTCAATCCCGATTGATTTTCCTGCGGCAATGTAAAGATGGCGAGAGTGCTCCAGTACTTGCTGTTATTTCTGATGAGTCTCTCGCTGCGAATCAGAGTTTTGGGCTACTGGTCGCTGATATACGGTTATTGTGCGCTTTGCACCATCGTAGCCCTGCTGAAACTTTGCTGGAACATCATCCTGAGGCCGACTGCCACCTTCCAATGGGGGGTCCGTGAGACTCCCCCGGCTTGTCTGAATGACACGTCCTTGGGAACCCACTGCTATGTTCGGATCAAGGTAAAACGTGTGTGTGTGTGTGTGTGTGTGTGTGTGTGTGTGTGTGTGTGTGTGTGTGTGTGTGTGTGTGTGTGTGTGTGTGTGTGTGTGTGTGTGTGTGTGTGTGTGTGGGTGTGTGTGGGTGGGTGGGTGTGTTGTGTGTGGGTGTGTTGTGTGTGTGTCCTGCATGCTATACGATGGTGTTAAATGTTACAACACCTTGCCTGCGTGTCGCGTCGTGCACACAGGCCTGATCTCAGAGCAGATCACCACTGTTGGTCTTTTAGACGTGGTTCCGCTGCTCTGGTCTCAGGTGGTGCTGAAGGGACAGCTCCTCTCGGCTCCACAAGCAGAGGCTGCCTGCCAGCTCCCAACAACCTTGTTGTTCAACATTATGTCATTAAATACCAAGGCATGCCTTTCAGTCATGGAAAGTAACATTTACCCAGGCATTGTGCCATTTGAGGCACTTGTACTACAGTGTTTTATTTGTATGCAATTCTCAACCTCCATCCACTTGACTTTTCCTAACTTCATTACTTGTTGACTTCATAAGAGCTGTGAATACATTAAATACAAGGCATGTTTAGGGACTGCCAAGTTTATAGATCAGTATGAGAATAATAAATAAGCTTCATTGCAGCCAGCTACAACAGTTAAAAGCATGCATGTTATACAAATGTAATATTCTACTCTAATGTAACAACTAGAGAGCCCATTGGCTGCAAATTAAGTACTTGTTTATGTTTACATTTAAAGTAGCCTTGGTTTTCTGGAGTATGCTTAAATTCATTAACAGAATTTAAGATTTTAAATACAGGATTTTACTTAAAAATTGCAGCTATTACAGTGCATCATATCTAATAAACTTGTCATATACAGTATAAGAAGAAGAACAAATTAACAGAAAATGTAAAACATATGTATTAAAGTACCTTCAAACTCCTAATAGGAAAGCTTGTTGACTAAATGTAGCCTACTTAACACATCTTTGGTGTTATTTTGACAAACCAGCCACAAGCAGCCACTCTCCTTAAAGTCTTCTGAGTAGTTATGCTGTGTCTCTGAGTGGCTGTGGATAAAAGCCTGTCCTCTCTTCACCAGGAGTCGGGCCTGAGGTTCCACTTTGTGGCTGCTGGAGAGCGTGGAAAGCCACTCATGCTGTTCTTACACGGATTCCCTGAGTTCTGGTAGGTCAAATGGAAATCAGGGTTTGGGGGAATATAGCAGCTGCACTTCAGTAAACAGCAAAGTACAGCCACCACTGTACCATGTTTGTGTGTGTTCCCTCTGTCACCGCTCTCACATTTCCCCTGAGAATGAGCATTCTTTGGCTTTATACCATTAAAGCTATTAAATCTCTGCGCTCTTCCTCCGGGGCTGCAGAGACAATTCCACACAATGCACGAGGAGTCCTCAATCACAGACACCATTTGCCGTCGGGGGAAAAGGGTCCAAAGCATTCAAGATCTCCTCCTCCTGATATGAAATGAAAAAGTGGTGCTGAGCAGCGCTCCTGGATTGGGGCCAAAGAGGGTGTCACAAGCTATAAGCCGTCCATATCTCTAACATACTATCTAAGCTGCTGACAGGACGGGGATTCACTAACGCAAGAGGCGAGCTCTTTCTGCTTCACTCCCCGTTTACTTCACAGGAAGGATGAACTGTGCTCAGTGACACGGATGGAGAGAACTCTTTAGCGCTCTCAGAAATGAGAAGAGTAGCATGTGTGGGAGGCTATGGCTCAGTGGATAGTGTGCTCGACTTGGAATCAGGGGGTAGCAAGTTCGAGTCCCACTGCAGTCAGCATGTTGTTGTGTCCCTGGGCACGGCACTTGACCTATGACCCCAAATTGCTCATGTGGGGATTGCCCAGAGTACTGAATGTATGTATGTCGCTTTGGATAAAAGCATCTAACAAGTAGCATGTAATGTGTGTCAGAGGAATGCTTTATTTGCTCTAAACCTCATCTATATTCTGAGATCTGAGAGTTCAGTGGTGGGATCTCATACTGACTCATCAGAATCTCACTGGAGGAGGAGGATTTCAGTTCTTATGAGGAACCTCTAGGAGACAAGATCTTCAATTATTGTATACTGAAGTGACCTTCGCTCGCTGGAGAGAAAGCTCAGTGCTAGCTTTAAAAAGTTTGTGAGGTTAGTTTGTGTTTCAAATGAGCATTTGCACTGTGCAAGTTTAAAGAGGCGCTTTCCTGACTTTGCAGGGTTATCCATGTGGAAAAGAGTAAATACAGTGTTAATAACTGTACATGTAAGGTCAGTTTTGTAGCACCGCAAAGAGGTATAAGACACTGTTGAATTGCATTATAAGAACTGAGGAGCCAGATAGTTAAAAAATATATATTATGTTCCCGTAAAAAAGAGCACATTGACCCGCAAATAACAGCCAACAGATTAACATAAAGGAGGGAGAAGATTGCACAAAAAAGATCGCTAAATAACCTCTGGAGGCACAGCTGTGGAGAGGACAACGATCCAACTCTAAACGGTCCCACAAATCATGATTTACTCCCGGTCAAATATCAGTGTAATATCAATTTCTCATCGTTAAGATCATCATCCACTCTTTTGGGATCCATTCATTCTCATCTTTTATCTACACAAACTCTTCCTTGTGGCAGTTGAGATAGAGTCAGAGGTTATTCTTCCTTACTTTAGTTGCTAAGATCTTTTGTTCAATGGTGTAAGTAACTTCAAGGGATTCCTTCAGTTGAAGAGCAAGACACCTTTAAGAATTAAGTGAACATGTTAAGAAAACATTAAAGAGAAGACAAAAGACACAACTGATTTGATGTTCATTCATACTTCAGTGACATGTTAAATTGATGTTAAGGTGTTTTGGGCAGCTAGTGCCTAATGCAAAAGTAGGGCCTAAACTTCCGGATATCTTGACTTCTGCTGTGACGTTTTTTCAATACAAAGTCTCTTGCAAGTTCCACAATGCTATGATCCGGGCAATTCCAACATGTTGGAGCAGCCCTTTTAAAAGGAAGCTGTTGTGAAATAAAACAATTGAGCTCTGTCTCATCAATTATGAAAGTAAATCAAAGAAATTAAGGAAAAAGTGAATTTGTGCATGTTGTTTGTGTGCCTCAGGTTCTCCTGGCGTTACCAGCTGCGTGAGTTTAAGAGTGAGTTCCGCGTGGTGGCCGTGGACATGCGGGGCTACGGGGAGTCCGACCTGCCGCTTTCCTCTGACAGCTACAGCTTCGACAGCCTGGTCACCGACGTCAAGGACATCGTGGAGTACCTAGGTGAGAGGAGAACCGTGTGTCTGTAATGTGAACAGAACTCTTGTTTAGACAGCGTCTCCAGTCTAAAATAAACTTGTTTATCAGTGTTAGGCTGTGGACAGCCTTCAGGCCTGCAGCATGGCATGATAAACTTCCTGTGACTCATTCTTACTGAACATGGGACAGTGTGCAGATACCGAGCCAACAGCCTGCTGACTGCATGCTAACACTAGCAGGGAGCTAGCCTGAGGCTGTCTGCACACACCAGGCAACAGCCAATGGTTTTCTGCCAAGGTGACACTTTCACTCTTCAATCGGCCAGCATTTCACAGGATAATAAGCACTGCTTACCTACTGTATGAAATAACCGGTCTTAGCATTGACGCTTGCCAGCTCCTATTTTAGTGTGTATTCTTGGTGCTAATTACAAGTAAACGTGTAAATATATGTTTTGGTTTATAGAGCTCTTAATGTTCTTGCCCTCCTATTTATCAGACTTGCTTTGAACCCTCTATAACCCTGAGGTCTTCTGGTACTGCCTTTAATGATATACTGTACCTAAAGTGAAAACAAGGACCCACAGTGAGACGTCTTCTTCTTATTACAGCCCCCCAGAAGACCTGAGGGCGGCAGAGAACATTCATATGTTTAAGAACCAACTCAAAACCTACATTTTTTTATTTGTCTTTTAATTGAATAGCATTTTTTCAACATTTGTATGGAGTTTAGTGGTGTTTTATTAAATTACAATGTTATGTCTTACACTGGTTATTCTATAAATAAATACATCTAGAAATGGGGTTGATTTTGTTTCTAAAACCAAAACATTGAACTGAAAGATGCTAAAATGCTGTATGGATACATCTCCAATGGTTCATCCTACGGGCAACACATTACATTTCAATACACACTGTCTGCTGTTCCATTGGTAATATTACAATATTAAGTTGAACAGCTTTAAATGGTGCAAGTCGATTTGATCTTTAACCAAGTAAAAGTCCAGCCCAGAGGAACCCTCTCTCACTAATATTCTCCTGCACATTCCTACTTACATTGTTCTAACCGTCACAGTCATTTCTTAACAGGCTTTAAAGAGCTAATGCATATTGCTGTGCAAAGGATTCACTCAATGCTCATTTGAGTGGAAGTGGGAGGCCTGCATTGATCATAAGATAACTGCCGTACTCTGACACGTGATTGGACTACAGAGCCTTTTTACAGCGGCAGTTAGAGCCCAAATGGTCCACATTACAGTTCCACATTCACAGCCAGCTAATGGGGCCACACAAATCAGAGGCTTGCCCTTTAACCACCAATGGCAAGTAACATTGTCCTTTTCTTTGCTCACAGCAAACACTGCATGGCCCTCTGTAAAGTGGCCCCCAGACTTTTGAAGTGCATGTGATATTAATGTTGAGATGAGGTTCGGTGTGATTCATAACAGTGGTTGTAAATTGTGCCAGCAAAGGTAAGAGGATGACTTTAGAACAGTAATGTGATCAGCATCCCTCAGATGGATGCCCTGACCTTGATCTGCATTTGGCTGTCAGCATGAATAACATTCATTAGATGGGTGTAAATGTCCTCTGAGGGAGGATCCCAGCAATAAGAAAGTGAGAACAGTATTGATTTTGTGGCTATGACATGCCTTAACAAGCAGCACAAACATCCTTTATTAGGAACAACAACAGACTAATGCTCCTTTTCTTTTCTTCCAAGGATACAACAGATGTTGCCTCGTTGGGCACGACTGGGGCGGGACAATAGCCTGGCTGTTTGCCATCCAATACCCAGAGATGGTGACCAAACTCATCGTCCTGAACAGCCCCCATCCCTCTGTGTTCACAGGTATGATTGTGCAAAAGAATAAGTCCCAACATAGTTTTCCCTATGTCGGGACCTATTATGCTCATTCTCAGGTTCATATCAGTATGTAGTGTCTCTACTTTAAAGAGTCCTCTCCTGCTGGTGTTCAGGTGTATATCAGTATGTAGTGTCTCTACTTTAAAGAGTCCTCTCCTGCTGATGTTCAGGTGTATATCAGTATTCAGTGTCTTTAAAGAGTCCTCTCCTGCTGATGTCCAGGTGTATATCATAGTGTCTCTACTTTAAAGAGTCCTCTCCTGCTGATGTTCAGGTGTATATCATAGTGTCTCTACTTTAAAGAGTCCTCTCCTGCTGATGTTCAGATGTATATCAGTATGTAGTGTCTCTTCTTTAAAGAGTCCTCTCNGCACGTGACGTCCCGACTCCCGTGTTGTGTACTTACCCAGTCACAAAAGTACAGACATCAGAATTATATATATATTAATAATATAAGAATATAATATGTTACTTTTGTGACTGGGTAAGTACACAACACGGGAGTCGGGACGTCACGTGCCTCAAAGGTTGAGAAGGAGGGGCGTCGAGGTATTGCGCACTGCAGTGAGGGGTACTACGAGAGCGGCGAGTGGATAGACCGATGCACGGACTTTCCACATGGTAGAAGTGGGGGGGTCTAAACTAATCTTTTGAAAAAGAGAGGGGGACTTGTCTCATATAATGGCTGTGACGCCCATGTATCACACTAATTCAGAAAGCAACTTAGACATTTTGAAGCTCCGTACCTTTGCATGGGGATATTTTCTCTAACTGGACCTCGTTGAACTTTAGTTGAATACC